TAAATTCTTCATGTTTAGAATAACGTTTTTTCAGCATCTATGCGCAAACTGCAAGGTGAGGTAGCGCAGATGAATATCATTAAATGCTGTATTTAAACCACCTAACACAGAAAAAATAATCGCTGCTTTTTTTGATTCAACTAAAAAAAGACATCCCAAAACCCCTGAGAAATGTAAAGGTGTTTATTAAGGAACACTGTAAGACTAAAAATGTCATCAGTGTACTACAACACAAGTTCACTGTGTGCTCTCTGATAACAGCATTAAAGCATGTTTGGAGTCTTTTGGAACATTTTCTGTTCGACGGCATACTGAGTGATGATTTTCATGTTTTGTTGGGCATGACAGACAGAAAGTCAGTGAGATTTCAGGAACATATTGAGATATTAGGAGTGGGGTGGTGTGAGTATTGCAGGCTAACTTCTCTGCGGCAGCTTTTAACACATACTAAATGACTCCGCGTCCATACTCCACATAAATCCATCAAAAGAAGGAAGAGGGGAAGAGGGAGCTGTATCATTTCATGCAGCCTTTCTAGGCAGTTAATGATCTATTTATTAGTTATTTATTTATCATCATCCTCTATTGAGAGCAGATTTAAATCGAGTAAAGGCAGTTCCTCATTCCTTTAAAATGAAAAGACCTTGTATGAGTTTTTTAGGATTTAAAGGGATGGAAATACATCGTGGCTGAGTGTTCATCCAGCAGGCTACAAGGTGCACATGTTTACGTTAATGTCACCTTGTGTGAGTGCTGCTACCCCCACTGATCCTCCCAAAAACAAACAACAGCTGCATACTCTATTCAAGTGCAGGGCAGCGGGGCATCCACTGGAGCATAATATCACAGAGCAGGCCCTTCCCTGAGCGGGCCTGTCGAGCATGATGTACGTAGCGGACCGGTATCTTCCTCACCAGAGCTCAGATTGTTTTGATATTTTTATTAACGTGTCTTCAATCATAAATCACCCCGTGGAAGTGAGGGCCGATCCCTCCTCTCAGCACGGCATCAGATTACAGGTAGAAGACAAAGTTATCGGACACCTCGCCACGTGTCCCGCGTTTCAGCTACATCACTTCTTCCTTAGGAGTTCAATTCGGTTTACATTAAAACGTTAGAAGCAAGTCGAATATATTTAACATAATATTATGTAAATAATGTCCCCGTATAGTGGATAGGATTCTAAATGCGGCTTTCTATCCTTCATCTGCTTTTTATCAAAGCTGGAGACAAAAGCAGTCGGACAGGCCGTGAGCACTTCTTGCAATGTCAGGATCTGATGTCATATCTCTTTAAATAACCTCAGAGGACATCATTTTGTTTTATTGTGCATCTCACGATGTTATCTGGATGTATTAATGCATTGTTTAAACACAAGACTGTGTCCATTTGCATCACAATAACTCTTCACTCTCTCTCTTTTTGTTGCTTCTCAGCAACCGCTCGGTGTCCCCCCCCCCCTCCCGCTTGACTCGACTCAGGCCAAACAGCAGCCGAGACGCTCTGCAGCCACACACATTCTCATGTCATACCAAGTTGCCAGTGCGCGCAAAGCTGTCAGCCTCCCTTAAAGGCTCGGGATGCTATGTGTAATTCCTTTAACACAAGGCCACGCAGATATCCTTATCATTGTTGTAATGGCGTGTTCATGCCACCCTGCATCCTGCGAGCCTGCACAAGGCAGCTGGTAATTCATTTAATTTATTCAAGTCGACCCCCACTTGCGTCGCGGTGACGGCCAGTCCACGGCCGGACACTCAGCAGCCTTCGTCCTTCAGAGGTGATCTCAGGGTCGCATGTGATTCTATCACTGGACAGAAAAAAAAGCATCATTCATGACTTCTTATCTGCAGCCAGGGATTCTGATTTCATTTCATTGCAAACGTGGAGACACTTGGAGGAGAGAAAAGTCTTCATCAAAGCAGTGGCGATGAATAACATGGTAAATAATTGTCTATTATCTGACATATTTTACTTTTAACAACAACCCCTTTTTATTTAGCATTTTTCACCATCACCAGAAGAGATCTCCTTTGTGTGTTTAATATGTAAACACCATCTGTATTTCGTTTAATCCTCCTCAACAGGTAGCCAAGTCCAAAGCAGATCCCCCCGTCACTCACATCCTAGGACGTTTTGGCACTCTGACATGCTGGTTCCAGTCTGTGTGTTGGTGCTTCAAAGCAAATATTCTGTTCACATGTTGTCTGAGGCGCTGTGGGTGTGTTCAACTGGATCTCAGTCAGCGCAGAGCGGGAGGTTTATCTCTCCTGATGGATCTGGACACTCGTTATGAGGTGGACTCATCTAATGAGCTCTGATTTCACAAAGGCCTTGGCTTGAGTTCAAACTAATATGAGCGTGAGGCGTTAGGAGAGGAGTTTATGTGAGCAGGATCAAAGCTGAATCCAAAGTCTGAAGTCGAATGATTTTCAATATAAACGTTTAAAAAGTTAACATAACAAATTCTTCATTGATCTTTTTAAGTACAACATAAACTTTATCAGTGTGATATTGTGAATTTGATTTTAGTTATCTTATTGTTAAACTGAACAAACTGATTTTGACATGAAGGTTTCACCTTCACATCTACAGAAGAGGCCATGCATCCATACAAATCATTTCTACTGTCTTCTCGTGATGTAAGTAAATTTTTGCCATTTTCCCGAGATCTCAACTTATTTGTGTCATTATCTTGGGATATAATGCTGGTTCTCTAAAAACTGCGTTGTTGTCTGGAGATAATGCCATTCATAAGTTGAGATAAAACAACAGAAAATTATCACAGGTACCTGAGTCAAGTAAACTGTATTGATCCGCTTCCATACACATCCTCTTTTTATACCGTCAAAGGAAATGTTGGTCTGTGTGAAGTAATGGTTCAAATCCATCAAATATATTAAATAAGGACCAGCTGTGTGTTCAGAGATGGCCAGGTGTGGCATGGGCCCCCCTAGAAATCTTATTGGCCACCCCAGGTGGCTATTTGTCCTCTCCTGTTCTTTTTCATTATCTGTTATGTATTATTTATTTTTGGTGAGGTTTGAAAGGGTAAGTAATTGATATTTATTTGTGTGTGTATGTGCTCACATCACAGCCCCGCATAAGTCAGTGCCCCAGTGGTCCACCCCAGTAAAAACAGTCTTGATACACCCCTGATAAGGAGGCAAAGGAGAATGTTTTTTTTTTATTGTTAAATTCGTTGTCAATAGAACTTTCTATGCTTCTAGAAATGTCCATGTTGTAATTCTAAAACTTGAAATATATAACATGTGATGTGTCAACTCACCCACTAAAGTTTTCCGCCCCTATTCTTACTCTCTCTTACTGAAGACCACTAACCAGGCCATTTGAAACTTCATAACCAGGGGGAGAGCCAAGCAATGTGTACTGAGATTGGGCAATGCTAAAAGTTTTTTTTTTTTTTATTGGTGAAAAACATGAAAACAATAGAAATGTATGGGTTATGTAGAGCAAGTGTGACCGGATGGGGATGTGGGGTCCTTGGTTTGAACAGTACTACTACTAATTATAAAATAAGCAAAAATAACAATAAAAAGAAAAATACAAATGATAGAATAATACGAATGATATAATAGTATAGTATAAAGCTACTTTATGTTATGAGGCAAGGCAATGCTAAAAGTTCATGTGCGTTACATTCAAATACATATGGACGTAAACATGACAAAAGAATGCTCATGTTCCTCTGTATATGCTTGATCTTAAACAAGGTCTTAATAACATGTAAAGGGATAATCTGCCAAGGGGGAGTTAAAGTTTGTTGCACACTAAAATTAGCTAAAACATTTCCACTAAATACTGCCTTAAATTAGTGTATATATTGTAAATATATTGTTTGCTTTATTTAAATTAAATAGCTGTCAGAAATTGCTAAATGTTACATTGCTGGTGTTTTCAGTGCTTCCAGCCTCGCTCTCTATCGTGTGCCTGCTGCCTAGCTGATATCATCTGCTTGTTTGACCCAGAGATAAACGCTGACAAAAATGAATCAGAACAAAATGTCAGGATGTGTTGATGATGGGTGCATGTTCATGTTATGGGCAGCTCTGACTCAGGTGGTAGACCATTAATCATTCAACTGGCTTCCCAACCCTGGCTCCTCTCGCTCACATTACTAATGTAAGTGTCCTTGAGCAAAACACTGCACCCAAAACTGTAGAAACATGTGTAGAATAAAACAACGAAAGGAAGAGTAATTAAAGGACGTCTGTGTCACCTGGACATGGTGAGCTGTCAGAGAGGTAGTAAAGGACAGAAGAGGACATGTTGTTTTCCTGGATTCAGAGAAGCATTTGTCTTGCGGGATCACCTCGTAACCTTTCTGTCTGCCATTTGCTGCGATGCCCTGTCGGAGGGTATAGATGTAAGAGAGCCCACTGGAGGGGGCCACCTGCCTCTCTTACTGCAGTCTGCTGTACCATGTGGAGCCCCAGATGTAGCCGGCAGAATAATCCACACTCATACACTCATGAAAGTGTCCATCTGGCCCCACACGCACACATTAAGCCCCCGGAACCATGCAGGCATGGGGACACTGGGAAGCCTCTGCAGTCCTGTTGTCGTGGCATTTAGCAGATACAGCCGTGTGAGATACTGCTGTACTTCTTCCATTCTGTCCGCAGAAAGGCCCGAGCCGAGGCGGCGCACAGCTGAGAGTCGGTTGGCTGTGACAGAGAGGTGAAACGGAGAGAGGACTGAGCAGGATAAGCCTGCAGAGCTCACTGCTAACAGAGCAGAGCAGAGTGAGGAGGATCTTTTTACATTAGCTGTGCCTCGGGCACACGCAGATAACAGCAAAGCTCCTGGCTGGCAGGAGAGGAACCGACAGTACAGCCCTGCATCACAGCTGGCAATGTTTATCAACTCAAAATAAAAGACTTTCTCTGCAGATCTGAAAAATATCTAAAGTGTTTTCTTTTGGCTAAATACAGATAGTCCTGAAAGTTAGTCAGTGTAAACATCAGATAGAGGCCAGCCTCGCTTTTTTATTTGTTTCCACATATAAACATTATTGAACAGTGAAGAAGTTCAGTCGTTTTATAAAAGTGACACAATTTTCAGTTATTCAATATAATATAGGACACATAACTGTTTAGAGCAGGTAACTTTTATAAAGGAGCATTTATTTACAGATAGCAATGAATGCATTTCAAGAGAACTTCCTAAAAAAAGCCACATAACGTTTTCTTTGGTGATGACAGAGCAACAATTCAGACTTTTCTTCCAATAAGGTCGATTAGAGCCGACTACCCATTTATTTAAAACTGGACACATAATGAATACTGACAAGTCATCAACAAGATGAAAGAATTTCCTAGAATACAACCCATTTCTTTTTCCTTAACATTACTGAACGGTTTCATAAAGTCCGTCATGTGTTGCTTTACAGTCACATTAAATTAGATGTGAGTGTTTCTCAACTAGCTGTTAGCTGAAAGCAGAAGATCTGTTTATTTAGGATTGCAAAGTTGACACGAGAGACGAGTGAAAAAAAACACCATAAAAATGAAGGTTTCGGTAGAGACTGAACAGACATGATATATTGTGTTATTTTGTCATCTATTGAGGTTCATCAAGGCAGACTTGGTTGCCATTAAACCGAGTCTTTATGCTAAGCTAGGTTAACGGTACACTCAACAGATGTATTGGTGAGTACAAATCATTTTATTGTCCAACTTCTGATAGAAAAACAAAGGAGTGTATCTCCAGAAATGTCAAATGTTTGCTTTGCCATGTGCAGATACGTTCATGTATAATTGCAAACTATAAGCGAGTGTTTAATGGCTGTGTTCAAATAGAACGCGCTGATACTGAAGAAATGTTTCCTGTGGCATTACATCCCCCTGAAAGGAGTGGAAGCTGATTCAAGCTGTTATATATGAACATAATTCGTTGATGATGTGATGGTAATATAAGATGAGCGCTACTTGTTAGCACCTTTTCTATCTGTATGATAATGGTTTATGCTGTAAGAACTACAGCAGCGTCTCACTGGGAAGCTTTACTCTCATTTGTGCAGCAGCAGCGGGACAGACGCTGCTCTCGCCCCCGTGCTCGTCACCACTTCACAGGCTATTCAATTAGCAGGAGAAGCATGGGAGCCGGAGCCATAATGGAGCTGATGAGATGCACAAGGACAGGTGACACTAATCAGAGCGGCGCCCCATTGTCTCTGTGTGGACATCATTAAGGAAAGAGAGTGATTTCAGGCTTTCTTTCCCTCTCTGAGCCTGAACACACTCATGAAAGCTGCGTGCATTAGCTGCCTGACGATCAATTTGCAATATGTGAGAATATATTTGCTGAATTAAGTGAGAGTCTTTGATATAGAGGAAAATATGAATATTTGACACCTCAAAAATGGGCTTTAAAGTGCAAGATCTCATAAATACCACGCTGATAAACTGATGTGATATCTTGAACGGCTGTTAGAAACCTATAATACCCAGAGGATTTACTCTCACCCTGTGTTCTGTAGTCTCCTTCTGTTAGTGGTTCAGTAAAAGCTCAGACATCCACTCTTCAACACATCCACTTTTCTTTCCTCCACTCGACTGTATGAGGCCGCAGATGTAGCGTGACCTGCTGCTGCTGAAGCGGCTTCTGAGCGATCCCAGCTGCCCGGCCTCGATCGGTCCTCCTCAAACCATCTTGGTCGGACTGTGAAGGAGATCTGCTCGGCGTGCTGGTAGCGACTGCTGAGGTAGCTGGACAGACACCTGAGAAAACACCACCAAGGGACAAAAGTAAGGTACGGTCACCTCTAACTATAGTTCTTTCATAAAAGTCCATTTGCAACATTAACAGTTACACACTCTGAGGGTAGAATAGCATAACCTCTTGTGTTGACATTTGCTTCTACAAACTGTAACTTACAGTGCTGGATACGTTCTGTGAAATCCAGGTTGCTGCTTAATAAAGGTCACATATTATGCAAAATGCACTTAACCATGGTTTTCTAACACTGATATGTGTCCCTAGCCTGGCTACAAACTCCCCAATTATGAGAAAAGTCCATCCTCTCCATCTTTTGCCTGTTCCACAAAATGTCTGCTTTCATTTTATGACATCACAAAGGGCAGTAACCCCTCCCCCAGGTGGGCGACACTCCCACAGCTAGGTGTTTGTTCTACCCTCTGAGTCGGCCTTCTCACCGTAAACAACAGGGCATGGTGCAAGAAAGCCAGAGCCACCGAAGCCCTTCCAGAGAGGGGGCGTGGTCAGACACAGACCATTAACATTTAAAGGTACAGACACAGAAACAGCCTGTTCTGATCAGGGCTGAAATAGAGGGGTTTATAGGTATGATCAAATACAGAATCAGAGAGGTATTTAGATCTTCAAAGGGTTATGTTATTGTCTTATGTTGTTCTTTTTGAAAGGAACATGTTGTGTCACTTGAGTTCAAAAGCAGATTAAGCTAACAACTTAGAATTTGTTGGTACGTGGACTTAAAGAGAAGTTAGTCGGCAGATTTTATAATAATTTAAGCAGGCAACATGTACGAGTGAAACATCTCCTGGCTTACATGTTACAGAAGAACAAGAGACGAGCTATTTTACTTTCCTGTATTAGTTCTGGTTTCCATCAGTGTTTCCTTGTTACGGCAAAACAGCCGTAACAAGCAGAAAAGCAGATGAGATTTAAGGACAATTTGAGTTCTCATTCCCATTTGTTAATCAATGTTTATATTTTGCCTGAGCACAGAGCTTCATGTCACTCCAATCAAGAGAAAAAAAAGGTTCCTTTGTTCAGGATTCAGCATGATCTAACATTTTCCCTAGAGAGCACATATGGTAGAAAATCAAATCAAACAAGTTGACATTGAACAGCTTACAGACGCTCTATGTTCAATGCACTTTGTACAAAATGACATTTCTTACTAAATAAATTAGCTAATGTATATTATGTGTACATGGAAGTATTCTGAAGCCAAGGTTGTTACAGTATAGAGCTGTCTGGTGATCGCTCAATGTCATTATACAGGCATTAAATGAACAAGTACGTACAGTTTATATGATGTATGTAAAACTTAGATGATAGACATAAATCACAAATAAAAATAATGCAAAATATTAAAATACAAAAGAACAAAAACATCAACAAAGACATTTAAAAGAGCCTGCTGAGGTCATGAGGTCTTTAAGGGTCAACCCTGAATTGGGACCTGACCTCTGACCTGCGATCCCTAATTGGTCAGATTACAGAAGCAAAGTAATCTTAAAATTCCACTACGCAGCTGAACGTGGGAGTTCAAGGCAAAATAAAAATCTATATGTTATTAACTAAGGGTAAAAAGGAGATAAACAAAAGAAGAAGACACAAATATTGATATAAAGAGGTTGAACTCTTTAACACTGGTGGGCCTCCATCATGTAAAATGAAGCAGCGAGGAAGGGGCTGTTAAGAGTATCATGTGGTGGACTTCACAGATGCACAACTACAAAGAATAGAATAGATAGAAAAAATAAAGTAGGAATAACTTATTTGAATCTAATGAAACATTATTTACATTATGATGGGTAAGAGCAATGCGTTGTATTCAACATGACAAACCTTTAAGCAGTAATATGGCAGTTTTAACAACAGTTATAATTATTGGTTTGTTGTGTCTGTAAATTGTTTCCAGTTATTCATTTCTTAGATAACATTAAAAAAATAAAAATCCTCAGCGGGGAAACTCGTCTGCCACCTGGCCAATTCATACACACAACAAATATCGACAGTACAATCACAATACACAACAACATGGACGTGCGTCTTTGTGGTACGACGCTAATCATCCAATAGCTTTTCAGAAGGCTTTGTGTTTACACGGGAAAATAGTCAGTGTGGGCTATAAAAAAAGGCAATGCACAGAAAATGAAGTCTCTGCCGGGAGTCCTTCATCACTGACTGCTGGCAACACCGGAGGCCCTGAAAAGTTGGCCACCATTCCCAAAGGATATAACCTTGTCAGAACATAGCCAATGGGTTCAAAGATTGAGGGTTAATAATATCTCAGGTAAAAATATTCATGTAGTAGTACTTTGTTCTTTAACACTGATTTCAACTGCTACCACACAGGAACATTTGAATGTTCAAGTCCTTTAGTGGTGGTGGTGGTGGGGAGGTGGTGGTATCATGTGATTCTTCATGTTGGTGCATACTAACTATCACAGTAGTTATCATGAGCTCTGTGTGGGAGCTAATCATGATAGTTCGACTCTGAGGTGGTTGTCCACCCTTTTACTATATAATTTACTACAATCAGTGGCAAATGGATATCAAGACATACACCTTCAAGTGCTGCCTGGCAACCTGACAGAGGACCTGAGGAGTCAACTCTGCTGCTCATTATTTCCAACAATAACCGTTAATACATGTTGCAGTTTAAACCCTTAAAGGCCTGTTTTGTACAAAGTAATACACTGGACATAAAAAGAAAAGTCAGCCCCCTCCCTGCAGACTCACTGAACACATAACTTCAGTCCACATGGTAATTGGCTTCTGAGGCAAATCAATGCCTCAGATCAGAATTGAAGCATTCTGCTTGTTTACAACATCTATCATTTGCTCCTTATCAAGTGTGATCAGAGCAGTTTTCCCTCCCTTAATATAGGTTTGATGGGACAAAGAAAAGCTCAATTCTTAGAGAATTGGAAAACACATTTCTCGTGCTTTGTGGTAACTAAACTGTCAGCAGATAAGAGAGTCCATAGTATCAACTGCAGGGTAATTCATCTCACAATAGTGCTGTTGTGTTTTCCTTCGGAGCAGCTTGGAAATATGGTTTGAGGCCTCTTCTTTAAATGTCACTGCAAATGCTTCGTCTGAATGCTCAAACAAGAGAAAATGTAAAGCAGAATGCACCAAGTCTACACTTTAAACAAAGTACTCTCTCTCTCTAAATTTGGTTAACTTATGTGTTGTTGTTACATCAAAAAAAGCATATTAGTCCCCTTGTGTACACTTATATCTGCAAAAGGGCGATGAGCTATTCGTCCTCAGGCAGCTCTGCAAACTGCTGCAGACAGTAGCGTGAGGTGAGAGAGCAGTGTAGGCCACTTTGTATCATGTCAGCGCTGGCGGTTAGACGCCATCTCCACAGTGTCCCCTGTCACCAATCACATCCTTTTAAACCACCCAGGGAGCTCGACAACCCCCTGCACACACACTCATGCACACACACACTCCCTTATCTGTCAATGCTGCTTAAATAATGTAATTAATGACTTAATTAACATTTCCATAATCTATTTTAATAAATCTAACACGGCATAATTAGAGTTTCTAACCTCCAGGCAGTGGCATATAAAAATTCACAGAGCAGAGCTGCATGGTCAGGCCACTGTCTCAGCACCCAAACTCTCGCCCTGACAGTAAAGGAAGGAGAGGGCGCATATTGTGTGACAGCCCTCTGAAAGGCAGCTCAAGCCTGACAAATGTCATGTGACTTTGTGAATGTGTCCAATAACAATCCTGCAGCGCAACAAGGAGGGCGTAAAACAGATCAGTTTAGAGGTTTGAAATGTCAAGTAGGAAGTGAGAGCGCAAAACACTGGGACTGGGATTGGGATTAGAAGGATTATTTTGGAAGAAGTTTGCAAGAAGTCTCTGAGGAACTAGCCTTGATAACCAACCTTAAAATCAGGTAAATGTTTCAGGGCTTTCAGTGTAGCGAGCACATTTGAAACATCTCTTTCACGTCCACGCACATTAGTTGTTGCTGTTGTTTTGAATGCATATCTTTTTGCACAATATCTTTGTACTTTTCTAAATCTGTATTTTATTCTTTATCCTTTATACATTTTGTATTTTTTATACTTTAACAGTGTGCACCGTGGTTTGGAGAGAAACTTTTTTTTGACTTATCTGTATGTCCATTATGTAACGCAAAAATTGACAATAAAGATGACTTTGACTTTGGTAAACCTCCTCTTCAGTCAGTTGGTTTACAAGAGGTTAAAAACTTTTATTTATTGTGTTAGTCCCACTAAACCTGGACTTTTAAGATACATGTAAACTGAAGTGAAATTTCTCAGTCAGATGAACACACCTAGATAATGTGGATGGAGATCCATTTACTCTTGCAGGGATCCATATCAATCGGCCCCAAACTGGCCTAGGCAATCTAGTTCTTACAATCTTAGTTCCCACACTGAGCTTTGACCCAGAAGTCGAGCAGCATTGTCCTCTACCTTCTGACATCTCCACGAGCACAAGACATATCATGCATGTAAGTAGAGTACACACGAAATGCAAAGAGCTGTAAAGATGTCCACAACCAGTCTGCCACTTGCTAACTTGTTTGTTGATTGTTCGGTATCGGTCATAGTAGGTCAACAGGAAGAAGGTCCACTATAAACCAGATGAAAGGGCGCCTCCGTCTGAAGTCAGACATATTTATGTTGATTCTTACCCAGTACTTGTGTACTGGGACCAGCTCATTAGACCAAAACAAACAGCCAAATCAAGCTGTGACTGTAGTTTGACTTAACTTTGCATGTAAACATTAGACTGTATATAAGCATGGACAAAGTCTGAGTGATGTCATCCACTGGTTTCTGAAGGGCTGTTTGGAAGCCCATCCATGGCAGTTACAATAGTGGAAAATGTTGACTATAAAAGTTTCGGTAAATTTTAATATGGGGTGGGACTTCCAGGTCTTTTGGAGCCTTCCTCAAGTGGACACTCGAGGAACTGCAGGTACAATTTTTCGACCTCAGAGGTTGCCTGATGTAAACGTACATTCTGACTACAACTTTGAGCTGCTCAAGTTGAGTGGAAGCCAACCCCCCCATCTTTGACTGGATTGTTTTTATTTTATTTTATTTTATTTATTCATTTGTTTATTTTGACAGGGACAGTGTACAGCCAATTAGCTGTACCAGAGTTAGCTATAAGCTAATTTACATCTGTAGTCCCTGGGCAGGAGACAGAGACAATGTCTCTGTGAAGAAGCAAAACATACACAAACAACATCTTCACAACAGTAAGACAGTACACAACCACTGAACAATGGCATTACACTAGTCCACAGTTTTCTTCTTTTGTATTCAGAAGTGTTTCTGTATAATTAAAAAGCCAAACTGTTGTCATACCAAAGTTCTGGGACTGTATTGCAGTAAATGTTTGCCATTCTTTCGCTCCTCTTCCAAAACAAATTCCTGCATTCAATCAAAACATGCTAAAAAACATGACTTGTCAATAATACATGGACAAAAAATGGAAACCAGAACACCTCCAACACCAAAATATCATCCTTTGCCTTCAGATTCTGCATTTAGTTGCAGGTATCTGTAAAATAGAGATTTGTTTTCCCAAATAAAACCATAAGAGTTTCAATAACATAAATAAAGCTTGTTTTTTTCTTCAGAGAGCTGGCAACTATACTTTTAAGCAAACTTTAAAGGGGTGTAGTAACACTATGGTTAAGGACTACTTTCAGCTGTGCATTAATTAAGAGCATATGTTTACGGGCTTGCAGGAACGTGTCACCAAGGGCAATATTGAGCCTCTCTGATATGTTTCAGTTTTTTTTATATGATATGTATTGCACATGGAAATAGTATCGCTCTGTCTAAAATACAACTATTATATGTAGGTCTTTTGATGGCACATAACAGAAGTGTAGATTATCCCCTTATCCTTTAAACAAACCGAACAGCACGAGAAAAAAGCAACGCACTAATTAAATACATAAAGAATACATTTCATTATGCTGTGAAGATTTAGCCAAAACTTTTCATCAAATGTTTTCAGAACAATAAAAACTAAACCTTTTAATGGCTTTGTTACATACCAAACTTGTGTTTAAAGTGTTGTAGCCATGGCAACTGACTACAGGTAACAGAGGCAGGTGGCAAAAAGCTTCAGCCTCCCCCTGCCAATACACCCCCCTGGCAATATTACAAGTTACCATTTTAGTAGTTGATGCAAATGAACATGTGAGTACACAACATGGATCAATCACAATAAAAACTCCTGCTGAACTGTTAAATTCAAAAGCACGTTGTTTATCTTTATCTTCTCCTTGTTGCAAACACAACAAGGCCTTGCGGTGGGTGAGAGACGAGGGGCTCGCTCCTTATAAAAACTCCCCCCCTCAGGCTAAAGGGTGACTGAGATGCACCCTGACAGGGGGCAGCAGGAGGCTGGCACATCCCAGGCAGCAAAAGCACCATGGGGGACGGGTCCGTGAGGCCCAACAATGCTAATAAGGGCACCCACCATCCTTCCTATTGTACCAGTAATAATGTGAGCATCAGTTGGCGGTAAAACCTGTTTAGAGCAGTGGGATCGCACCAATGCTGTAGGATGTTTAAAACACTAATTGTCTTAAAACCTTTAGAACAGCAAAAAAAATAAATCTTGATGTTAATGTAGTCATTATTTGCATTAAACTGTGATAATTAACAAAAGAATAAATGGATTTGTAATTTAACGGGAGGTAAAGCTATAGACTCAAAAAGGACGATATTAGAAATCAGATTTTGATATTGGATAAATGTTGTAATGAATATGTCATTGGATGAAAACACAAACTGCAGACCGAAGAGCAAATCAGAACCAGATCCAATGTGATATTCTAATTCAAACCATTCTACCTAAGATTTAAGGATACAATAACTTTCAAAAAATCCTCTTTGTATTTGAATGCATTGTAAAATAAAAATAAAAAATGGAAACAGATACAGTATATGTGCATGACGTGGCTAAAAACATTCAATGTGACATTTAATGGAAAAGAAATGATGCATTTAACCAGGATATCCTCATTGAGATTAAGGGTCGTTTCACATTAGGGACCCGGGCCTGGAACCGGGTACTCTTGAACCCAAAGTCTGGTTAGTTTGATCAGTGTGAACACAAATGTCCCGTTCTCATACTGTACTCAGGTGCCCCAGTCCACTTCAAGAGGTGGCCTTGAGCCCGATTCATGTGTACTCGAGTATGGTCCGCAGGAGATGGGAAAGAACTTTGTGCTCAAACAAGGAAGTGGGCCGCTTTAAAAACAGTTGTATTCGAACAGCACAGGCCCGTTTCATCATCTGAGCCGTCCAATAGATGAGGATGTAGGAAGAGGGTTGTTGTTGTCTCAGAAATAACATTATTAAAGGAAGTCAAGGTCTTAAAGTTTCATGGGTTTGTTTCAACAAGTTAAAGCACTCAGTAGACTTCCTTGATTTCAGATCATAATCAGTTTGAGTGTTTCTGTTCCTATACTGTACAGAACCTACAATGTGATGGTAGTGTTACTGTTTTCATTTAAGACTTGTTTTCTGAAGATTCAAAACAAGCTAAAAGTGTGATGGTGAGTTATTTTGAAAGCACCTTAACAGAGTGTCAGTGTTTTAACTGTTAGCATGACGACATGTTTGAACCTCTTTCAGCTCTTAACAATGAACAAATACCTGCAGCTGAGATCTGCCAAGAACGCAGCCTGTCTGAAGCAGCTCAAAGTGTTGTAAACAAACCAATTTCCTGTCATAGAATTACAGCTCATTACAAGCGTGGAGAAGGGCTTCAACAACATAATGATGCAGAAGCACATTACCAGTGCAACCGTATTTATTAATTACCAGTTCACTAGCTGCATTCCTTGCAAAGGCAGTTAATGGGGGACAAAGTTACGAGCCTTGTTGAGTTAATTACAAACAGCCGCTCTTATTTAACTTAAGACAAATACTGGAGGAAGGGGAGATGTTGAGCATAAAGTTTGAATGTTGCTACTGGCACAAAAAGCTCTTTGGAGTTATTGGGGGTTACATCACTCCTATTTCTACCGTGTTTTATAATGAGTGTTAGTAGAAAGGGTGTTCGTCCAAATCCCAACATTTTGTTAATTAAAGTCACTTTCCCTGTGTTTTTTAAGTCAAACTGATCCAAAAGGTATCTTATATCGAGATCCACAGCCTGGTTTGAGTTTCTACTTTAGGCAATTACAGATTACATAACGAGTATTTGTAATCTGATTACAGTACCAGCCGTATGTTGCTTTTTAATCACAGAGTAGATATTGTTCATGGTGGACGTCTAATGCATTATTTACAAGCTAGATGTTGATAAAAACAGACTGTTCATTTACTAATGGTTTACAGTACCGCAGGCATTATTCCAATTAGCAATATCAAAATGGGAAATAAGACTAAGTGAAAACAAGAGAGGTGGAGGTGAGGGGTGGAGGGGGTCAGGGGTATGTTTTCAGAGATGATTATTTTGATGACGCTCGCTACGTCTCGTTTTGAAACACGCATAAAAAATGAAAATATAGTTTGTATTTAGCTGATGAGAACACATATATCTTATTTTAATCATTCATGTTGTCATCGTGTTTGTATGTAAAGCAAAGGTCAGACCAAGGACACATCTGAAATATAAAGTACAGATACTAAAGGTCAATAAAGAAATGGTAAAAACATCAAATACTCACTTGATCAGCAGGATCTCTGTCAGCAGTCCAAAAGAGGCTGCTGCCACTTTAAAGGTGACGGGAGGAGGAGGGTTGGTGAAAGCGGTCATCATGCGGTAAACAACATACGGCACCAGAGACAGCAAAGCTAAAGCAGTGATGAGCACGAGCCACATCTGCCACTGGAGGCTCATCAACCACCACGGAGAAGTCCTCTGGAGCTGGTACTGGACCAGAGAGAGAATGACAAAACAAGTCGAATGAAATCACTGCACAATAACGGACTGATCTGTGAAATAACAGAAATCTATTGTCAACATTTGTTTTAAGGTGTATGAAAATAGTCAAATGCAAAGCCACAAACACTACAGATCATGACTCTATAGATGGAGGAGTCGGGGGTTCAACCTTATATCTTAACTAGGGCTGGGCATTGTATTGAGTTTTTAAGATACATCAATATATATCTAAACAAGATATAGAGTAAGACATTATTGTTTATATCAAGATAGTTTATGCTGCATTAACGTTATACATTCCTTCCGTAGAGCGGCTCGCCTATTTCTCCTCTCACTGTCTGTCCCTCTCCACCTTGCTCCGCCCCTCTCCCTCTATGAGCAAAACTAAAAAGATGTGAATGTACTCTTGGTGCTTCATTACTGTTCATTTAACATTATCACAGGTATTTCTTTTCATTATCACTTTTTTTTGCTTGTCTTAATTATGTATGGTCAGCTTGTGTTAATAATGTAAGTAAACCACTATAAATAAAATGTAGAAAATAAATAAATCAAAAATAAATAATGATTTTTAGTCCACATCCACCATCCATAATTTAAACACCTATTGGATGAATTGAAAAGTCGGGGCCTTTCTCAAACCTCTCCCTACACACTTCCACTCTGTGAGCTTGTGTGGATTGTCCGCACACATTGAGTGCTGTCCAAAACCTCTGAGAGCGGAGTTAGAGTGGATTAAACCCTCCAACAAGCAGTCTGTATGGCTTATTGAAGAGGTGTAACACCTTTTATTATTCATCATGGGAGACAGTCTATATATGTTACAGTTCTGACTTATTACCCACACAAATGTAAATAAGAAAAAAACTACAGCTCAGGCAAAAAAGTCAAAAGTTTACATTATAATCAGGATCTAATTACGCTCTTCTTGTCTTGAAAACGGTACATTGACAGTGAAGTATTTTATGTTTACAGGAACTGAGCATCTTCTAAACATCTTGTGAAAACCGTCAGTAATGGACCACTTTTCTTTCTTTCTTTGGCTTATGATCACAGTATAAATTGGATCATTCCCAACACGGTGTACATAATCAGAAACATGACCACTTTCCCTCTTATGCAAATGTTAGCATGCTAACATGCTACCTCAATGATAAACATCACCTGCCAGAGCAGGTATGCAGCATTTCAGAGGTCTGAAAATTAAGCAACACAGACAGAGAAGAGGTTGAGCTTTGTTCAATGTTAAACTTTGATGAATCACAGGCATACCATCTGACTAAGTTAAGCTTTTCTAATTAAGTAAAACATCAATCCCACACATCTTTAAGAAACTAAACTATTTCCTGCTCACTCAAGGGGAAGGTTTTGTTCTCTTTTTAAAAACATTACGGGAGAACTGTCTCTTTATTATAACCTTTCAGCTCGACACAAAATTGTGTAGTGTGTTTACGTGTTCAAAGAAAAACAGTGACAGTGATTGCGCCAAAGAGTATAACTCTTGTGATTGTAGCGTCTCAATAATGAAAAATAAACAAACCCCTATTGTTAGCATCAATTCAATAATCCAGCCTCACACCTGTTCTGTCCCTCCAGACCTGTGTTTCACCCTTGGCGTTGCACTTCAAAAACACTTAAGTACAACACTAAAAAAAGCAGCATTAATCCTCACACAGGCACATATGTATAAACACTTGAGCACACGTGCAGTCATCATGTCAGTGTACAAACACAGCCTTAAATCCTCACCAAATATCGCCTTGCTCTGGAGACAAACCAAACCACTTAAACCGCGTTTGATTAGTGTCTGGAATTCATCTGCAAATGCACACTTGCCTTGTTCTTCTACATGGCTGCGATTCATTAATTAGATTCTTTGTGCAACTGAGCTATCCTCAATGTTTAAGGTTACATCAGGCCTCCGTAAGTGGCTGCCTGATAACAGAATGCATCCATCTTCATTACTCAGGCCTTTCTGTCTCGGCTTGCTCCTCCACAAGTGAGCGATGTCAGGAGGTTCTAAGGAACTGATACATTTCATTGCATTCAGATCCTGAACTTTTGCCTCCTTTGATTTGAGTCGCTCTGATTAAATTACTGGGTCATGGTTTCCACTCATATCAGGTTCTTTTGTGCTGATTTTTCCTTCTAAAGGTGGAACAGTGCTGCTGACGAAGGAAATCCAAAAAGCGTGTTTTTTTTGTTTGCAGGCAATTTGGTAAGCCTGCTGTTTATGGATGTAAAGGAAGGAATATTTGATAAGTGTTACAGCAAAGTGATTTTGTAAATCCTGTTTTAATGTCACATTTTAGCTTCCTAATGAAGCAATAGACAAAGAGAACAGACTGCATATAGGAGCGGATGTGGGGGTGGCAGAAGCTCAGTCTGTAGGGACTTGTGTTGGGAACCGAAGGATCGCCAATTCTAGTCCAGGTGCGGACCAAATCTGGGAATTGGTCTGGTTGTTGGAGAGGTGCCAGTTCACTTCCTGAACACCTTTGAGGAGCAAGGCAGCAGGTTGTTACACGTCTACCAAACCCAGGTTATCAGGTTGCTGTTGCAGTGGCTTTATAACTAAGGAAAGCTTTATTAAAGGTTTATAGCTTTGTATTTTATGTTTCCTCTAAATGGGACCAACATTTGCACACCGAAAACAAGTATTAACATATATCGAAGACTTAGAACTACAAATTGAGACCAACAAAACATTAAGAACATTTATTTTTGAGAATCTGAGAAATGGCTAATTTTGAAGCTGCCTTGCATACATTTAAATTTCCTTTTAGAAGCAACTAAGTCTCCAGTTGAAGGCCATTAGAGAAATGACAGCTTAATGTCTTTCCACGCTCATGCAGAGTTTGAAACTAAGAGGCTACATCCTGCATTTCTTTACAGCATGTGGGCTGGAGCTTTCGCAGAAACTCGAGTCAGTAAAAAAAAGACTGCCTTCCAAATCAATCTGGTATTTTACCAAAAAATAATTTTAAATAATCCATCTGATTTTACACATATTTCATGTTGAGACAAAGCTTTAGATCTGGATCACATTAAGGTTGTTACATTCAGAATTCCTGTTGCAATTCATTTGGAAACAAGAGAGCGCTACCTGAAATCTTCTTGTAATTAAAATGATTGAACTTAAAATTAGATTTCTATAAAATGTATTATTTAAGTAATCATTTATAAATCATAAGCTATTGTTGAAATAATACATCTTTTTTTAATTCGTTGCCATAATCCAAACCTTTGCCTTCTCTGGCTTTTAGGATATTTGTAAAGAAGAGAAACACAATGTTTGTTGACAAAGAAAGCTTAGACATTCAAATGTCTTCTCAAACCAAAACATGTGATTTCAATCTTAGAGGAAACATGAACAGACTCAAATGCCAACGTAACAACAAAATGAATATGTTGCCACAGGTTTTCTTTGTTATTGAGGAATAGGCGTTTATAAAGCGAGCTATTAACATGTTGCTAATTATAGTGGTGAGTACTTGCAGTCTGAGAGACTGAAAGCAATGGAACACATTTGGTGACGGTCCTAAAAAGGCAAATTTGAATAAAGCTGTTAGCGACCCATCCATCAGTGGGATTGGAGCTTTTAGTCATATCAAGGCCAAGCCAGTTTGCGTTGGGTTAAAAGCAGCTTCATTGTTTCCCTTCAGCCAAAATGTGCTCCTGTGAAGAAGGTGATTAAAGTAGCCATAAGGAAACCATCACATCTATCATGTTTTCATGGGGACTCTGCTGTGAATGTAAGCAGGTTTTTTAGTATTTTGGAGGCTAGTTGTTCAGAGGAAAAGGACACACGGTAGTCCATCTTTACCTTAAAGGGAACATGATTAAAGACACACCATATGAGGACATGTATCACAGGCCTGGCAGACCTATCTGCCCCTTTTGGACTCATCAGAAATTACATTTCCTCTGCACCTAATCTTAAAGTCAAATAACACGAGGTAATCCCAACACTCGACTGAGACACAAGCAATAACTTTAAAAGTCGGCACCAAATACATTAACCACTGGTTAAAAATCACAGTGTGTTAATTACATCCTGATGTTTTATGACTATGACCTTTAAACACTATACCAATCAATCAATACAGGAGGGGAAGCAGCCTATTGGGAATATTTAGAGCCACAGATTCTGAAAGTAGGGCACTATTTATCCAAACACAATCATTATTAATAGCTGGACAGTCAACCCAAATACATTTTCTACATATTTTTTTTTCACATTACCCCCCTCTTCCTCCAGAGGTACGGTCCAGTGTGCGGATAATTAATTAAGAACTGTCACATGAGTACAGCAAAGAGGACAAAGGCACAAATACAACATTATCTCTTAAAGCCATGGTCAGCAATGTTTGACCTGCCTTTAAAATGACTGTAACATTCTCTCTGATATATTATCAAAGACCAACACAAAAGTTCATGTGAAATGCTCTCTGAATTAATAACCATGGTGGAACAAACTGATACGGACAAAAAGGGAACGATACTAGGATCATAGTCAGATTAACCACTGTAAAACTTTTCATTTCATCCCCGTTTGTTAGGATTTCTACCTGTAAAGTTTTGTATTTTAGTGTGACGGGTATGCAGTTTACAGTTACAAGAGCTGTATCACCTAAATTTAGAAAACATTGTCACCTTGATTTGAGCAGATGACACAAAAACAGCTCCTAAATATTGTATTTATTTCATGTTTATTTGTATGAGGACAAGAATGGAGCAACTTCAACTCCAATCCTAACATGGCTAAATACATGGCTGCTAACATATCCCGGATCCTTCGCTCGTGGTATCAGTTACAACTTGTACCTACAGTATATCCCAACTTTGCATGCCTCTGCTTTGCTACTGCGAATGTGTTAATATGTAAGGTAGTAAGCCAAATAGCAATGCATTGCAAATGTGTGCATATGTCTATAGCACAGGCAAAACACATTGCATAATGCATTCTTCATATTTTGAGTAACTAG